AATAAACTCACACGACTTTCACAAATCATCGTATTTTCAATATTCGTTGCATGAAAAATCAAATTATCCCTAAATACCTTCGCATACGAATCCCAATATATACTGACAAAATCCAAAGGGCAATAGAACATGTCAGCAAACTATGTCTGAAAGAAGAAATTCACAGGATTATTAAGAAATTAAGTACCATTCGGAATAAAATTGAACAACTTAAATGTAAAATTATGAAGATAGTAAACTGCAGAGACTATGGATTTATAATAGAAACATCAGACAAAGCAAGATTAGCTACTCTCAAGAAATCTAGAAGAAATCAAATCAAAAAGTTCAATAAACTAATGCAAGAAAAATATGCTTCGGAAAACAATGAAATTACAAAGGAAACATCATCGAACATCGATAGAACAAAGTGGGTAGTCAATCTCTCCTCGAAAGCCTTAAGCTCAGCTGAGATGAAAGTACTTGAAAAAGGACTAAACTTCAACATAACAGTAGATCATCTAAAACCAGAAGATGTCATACCTAGCATAGAAGTAGCATTAAGCTCGGTGGATGTGACAACTGCTGAACAGGTTAGAGCGCAGTGTGCATTAGCACTTAAAAAACAAAAGAAGACACAGCGAAACTTAACGAAACTGGAAAATTCAGCTTTAAACAATCTACGAAAGGATAATAGTATAGTAATTGCTAAATCTGACAAAGGTAACTCAACAGTAGTTATGGACAAATCGGATTATCTTAAAAAAATGGATGAACATATCCAAACAGGGCCATATGAAGAGATTAAGAAACCTATAGATACTGTCATGAATAAAATTAAGAAATCTACAACAGATCTGATACGCCGACTGAAGCCATCTCTAGGTAAGTCCGAATGGTTTACTTTAATGCCAAAAACTAATAATCCTAGCAGAATTTACGGTACTATTAAGGTTCATAAAGCAGGTTATCCCATTAGGCCGATAGTTGACTTCCGGAACACACCAACATATGAGATATCAAAGTATTTAGCATCAGTATTACGTCCTGTTAGAGACCGTTCCAACTCTAGACTAGTAAATTCTTACGAGTTGAAACAAAAACTTAATGACCTGCACATAGAAGAGGATGAAAAAATGGTTAGTTTTGACGTAACAAGTCTTTATACTAAAATACCAATCAATATGGCACTGGAGGCAGTCAGAAATCAACTAGATACTGACTCACAACTTACTCAAAGAACCAAGGCATCGGTTGGTGAAATCATGTTAGGAGTGCAGTTATGCTTAACCTCGACAGTCTTCAAGTTTCAGGGAAAGATTATAGACAAACAGAAGGAGTAGCAATGGGATCACCAATATCCCCTATAGTAGCAGATATATTTATGGATAGTTGGGAAGATATGGCTTTACGAACATATAATCCGACACCTAAGATATGGTGGCGATATGTAGATGACACATTTACAGTGTTGAAATCGGAACATATCGACAGTTTCTTGACACACATAAACTCAGTAGTTAACGCAATCCAATTCACTTACGAAGTAGAAAATGAACAAGGAGAATTACCTATGTTGGATTGCAGAATAAAACGAAGGATAGATGGTGGTTTAGATACTACCGTCTACAGAAAACCAACACATTCTAACAGATATCTAGACTTCAAGTCATCTCATTATCAAGTAAATAATACTGTATTACAGTGCGCTTTATATCAAATAAACAAATGTAATATGGAATTACATTCTACCACAGTGCCCAAGTTTTTCACTTATAGTTTCATTACCTTTTAGACGTTAAAGAATATCTTGAATTAACATTCAGTTGATTGTCATGTGAATAAAAACATCAGTGTTTTCGAACAGTATAATCAAGTAACGTTATAAAGTTATTTCAAAGAGAAAAATTCTCACGGTATTCAACAAGTAAAATTATGCATATGATATTATTTAACCAGTCAATAATAAATCTGAATACCGTTCAACGAGAAAGGATATATAAGATGATATTTTGAGCACAATATAAGGACCCATATTCATATAGATATCAAAGAAGTAATCATCATTTGAATACAAACCAATTTATATTGTACATGAACAACAAAGATTAAAGTATAACAAACCGGTAAGGATATCTTTCTGATTTCTTTAGTGATCGATACTAAGAGCTTGAAAAATTTATCAACATTACACAAACCCAGTCAATTGTTTGTGCTTCAGTTCAAATTCTGGTTTTCATCAGAGTTCGTGTTTTAAAGATTCACAACTAATAAATCTTATCCATCCATATTACAAAATGATGAATACTTAAGTGGGACATTCACAATTATTCTGCTACATTTGACACGAACACATTTCAGGAGACAAATTTTTCAATCAAACGTGACTCCGGAAAATATTTTAAAGAATGCGAGAAATTGTATAAACCATATATTGTTTCATTTCGCAATCTATCATTTCCCTAACCAAAAAAAGTGAATAAGCTAAAATGATTCCGAAATACGCTCTCAATAAGATAAGTGCCTAATGTTTGCTTCAGAGATGCTGTAAAATGTGTCGTAAATGATGATATTTATAAGAGCTTTTGAAGATATTGGCAAAAAGGTTTTAAAAAAATCGAAAGGCACTGAAAAAGAAATCTAGTGATTGATACCGCATTGAATGGTTTCGAGAACTTCGTGGGAGCATATTTATTAGACATTCTTTAAACCAATTGACTTCAGCCTAACATATATCTCCACATAAGACAAACTTGCGACTCACAATAACAAGATCCATCACTCGTTTAACTTTTAAATCACTCTATGCTAAATATTGTATTGTATACACCCAATTTTACTTGTAAACTGAGGGTTAAGTTGTAGTCTGTTAGCGATTTTTTCAAGTATACAACTGTAATCTTTACGGAAACAACTTGTTAACCTAACTTTCTGAGGAAATTAGTTAAAAAGAAATATTTACAATATGTAGTTCAAAAAATAAGTTCAATAAGTTAATTTACAGAGTAGAAGAACTTTTCAAATACTGACGAAATTTTAGGCAGACCATCAGTTGATGAACCTATTACAGTCACATTCTACAAAATTAACTAAATTTCTAATCATGATCATTTTGTCTCAAACTTGTACGAGCAATGTATGAATGAATGGAGTAATTTGTCTAAAAAAAAGTTTTTTTTCTACTTCAACTCAAACAAATTGAAGTAAGCTAGTTAACAGGAAAAGTTAAATGAAAGTGTTAACTTCATAATATCCACATTTTTTTTAACATCATTTAATAAATTTAGATGAAGAGTGTCATTTTTCTATCACTCATAGAAAGCAAGTATAATTTCTTATATCAGTGGAATATACCTATTTGATTATAGGAAAAGACAAGATGAGGATGCAGCGAAAAAAATGTTTTCATTTACAAAGCTGTACATTCGTGAATATATATGTTTACGGTGGGTAGAATATTCCAAAATTATTTCCAGTTAGGGGGAAAAACATTAAATAACTAAAGGAAATTCATTTATACACATTTAGGTTTAGAGTGGGAAAAAAAAAACAAGAGATTACGAAATTGAAAGTAATTGTGCAATACTTGATGAATGTATGGCAAAGTAAGCGAGTGAACGTAGGGTTAAGAAAATAAAGCTGCACTTATGTAACATCGGAAAAACCTATGACAGAATAGGATAATCAACAGGGGATTATGGAAATAAATTTACAATTTCGTGACACAAGTTGATTCTATGACGGAGTAGGAAAATAAACAAGGGATTATGAAAATAAATGTATAGTTACCTAATACAGGATGGATCTATATAGCAGTCAAGGTCTTATGATGGTCATGGCAAAGATAAAGGTTGGACACACCTTTATTGGACGCGTAACCCTCGTTTGAACTTCTTGATGGCTAGTGCTTCAGCTATAGACAAATGCCTTGATCTTACTCCCTTCGAGTTGTTTGATCAAACTCTGTAGAGGATTTTGAACGGTCACTCAAAAGGAGCTAAGTGGCCTGAGTTCACAAAGTGTTCTGCTATTGAAATGAAGACACACCTCCGTCCCTCCTTTGCCAAATAGGCTGGGTAGTGTTCGGGGGCACGTTTTACGAGCAAACGCATGGTACGGCCGATGTACTCAGCTCCACAAGAGCAAGTAAACTGAAATACACACATTGATATGGTCCATTGCATCGGTTTGTCTTTCACACTGACCAAAATGTTTCTTTCAGGAGAAAATAATTTGAAGGTACCTCCAACCTTTATCTTTACCGTCACCATAATAAAGCTTTGACTATCACAGATCCATTCTGTATTAGGTAACTATACATGCATTTCCATAATCCCTTGTTTATTTTTCTACTCTGCCATACATTCATCCTGTATTGCATAATTACATTTCATTTCATAATCCATTCTCTGTTTTCTCACTCTAAACCCAAATGTGTATTAATTAACTTCCTTTAGTTATTCAACATATTTTCCCCCCTAACCGGAAATAATTCTGGAACGTTCTGCTTACTGTAACATATATATATTCACTAATGCACAGCTTAGTAAAAAAAAGAATTTTTAATGTATATAGTTTTAATATTTGTTCAATTCTAGAAAGTGTGAACTTAGACTTAAAGCTCTGCATATTTAAGATTCTGGTGGTATACAAGAAACGCTGAAACCACCATTGTTTTACACAGAAAATAATTTATAAACTAATGTTCAGTACGTCATATTATTTGTTTTAAAATGCAATTTTAAATAATCTACAGCGAAAAAAGAAACAGTTCAGACTGTTGCAATTATATGGAAAATTAAAACAAAAAAATTGGAGTGAGTGTTAAAGATACACTTTAATTAAGGGTTGAAGAAATTCGAAACTTTAAGATTGATTATTCATGCATGGTTTAACAAACAACATACCCATCTACAATTTTATAGACTGATAGTAGATATCAGAAGTATGAGTGCTCTGTTAAAAGGTATATATATTTCACAACTGAAATAACAACAGTGGATAAAACTCCATAGAAAAGTTTACATATCATCATCACTAGGCGGTAGTTCACCTTCTTCCATACTCTCATCAGGATCATGAGACTTTTGACATGGACTTACTGGAATTGTATTCATTGTAATTATAGGAGATGAAAGCTGTGAACTTTCGCCTTCCAAAATAACTGGTTCTTCAGAATTGTTTATATCTAACAAAGGAAGACAGTCTGATTCCGGCGGTTCAGTTACACTTTGTTGGATTTCATGTGAAACCTCGACATTCTTACGATTTAGCATGCGATTAGTGTATCTACGGATCCTGTATATAACAACGAAAGATATATAATGTGATTATAGTTTTTTTTCAATACAATTTAAACAGCATCTATAAACAAGAAGGATATTACTACTGCCTATTAAGCGTAAGTTAACTTGGGAAAACAACTTAAAAATGTCAACTTTAGCCACAAAAGCATATTCTTTGAATTTCCTCTGACAAAGAATACGTTAATGTTGTAATGAATGAGGTGATAACTTATTGTAAAGCCTTCAAGGGATAGGTTTTTGTTAAATATATGCCTACAGCGGACTATATAATTTAGTTGTTTGATTTGTACAAATTCAAAATGTACTTTAGCTATATTATGGGATGATAAAAGAGTCTACAGAATAACTCAAATCTTATTTTCCTATTTTTATGCTCATATGTTCACCGTTAGAATGATGATTTAGAGGATAAGTGTGAAAAATATTACACCAATAAGCATATGCAGTGTGTAAAAACAAGTGAGAATCTATGATAGGTGTGCAGTGATCGAAATTACAGTAATGCTTCAAGATCACTGAAAAATATTTCGAAACATAAAGGTTATAAGTGATGAGAAAATAACACAGTAAGCAATAAGGAAGAATATCTTCTTATTTATTTCTAATCTGGGAAGCCTTTCCAGTCAGCTCCAAACATCGTGCGGACATTCCATGTCCCTATGCTTACTTTTGCTTTCATCGAGAAAGACAAGATACGTCCACCAATTGGCTTGCCGAAGGCTTTCACCAACGGCGTCATTTCGTCTCACACATCCCGGCGAGGAATAAGTTTATTCTTTATATTTTCTGTCCTTTGAAGTTTGTTTAGCGAATGGACTGATAGGGTTGCTAGCCCTAAGCCCAACCTTCTCTCTATATCCGCGAATAAGACCAGCTAGTAAACCAGGCGAAATATTAGGCCGCATCATCCTGGAGAGACTAAAAAATGCCTTCAATTCAAAAATTACGACCAGAACAGGCTGACTGGATCCAGGAAAAATAAATCATGTGTGGATCAAATTGAAACGCTACGCTACGCATCATCATAGGACAGAGCATAAAATGGCAATCAACTCTTTACCTTACCTCAACTTCATCCATTTTGAAAAGTCCTTCAATAGTGTCGACTTACAAGTAATTTGGAAACTGCTTCAACACTACGCTCCTACTGCCACAAACCTTTAATCAAATTCATTCAACAGCTATATGCCACATCATGCTACATGCCAACTGATTCACAATGGAAGGCTCACTGACGCCTTTGAAGTGAAGAGAGGAGTAAAACAAGGCTGCCTGTTGCCTACTGGATCATGCAACCGACAACTGTGAGGAGCGAGATGATGGGCATATGCTGGACCGATGAAAATAGTTTAGAAGATTTGGATTTCGCCGATCACGATTTATGCCTAATGACTTATTGCATAAACTCAAAGATCTACAGGCAAAAACTAACAAGTCGACAGAAGAGGCAAGGCAGCAAAAACGGGACTTCTTTCAGTTGAACGTAGAGGAGATAGATGGGATGAAGATACCCAACCATTAACAACAAGCATCAATCGCCATCAACGTGAGAAACCTAAAGGAAGTTGTCTCTTTCACCTGCCTACCTAGACAGCATCGTCTCAACTACAGGTGGCGGCGTATGTGAAGATGTCGAAGCCAGAATCGGAAAGACAAAAAGACAGGCCTTCATTAATCGGAAACCAGTGTGGAGATCTACTGCACTCAGCAAAAAGCGTGAACAAGATCCGGATTTTCAACACTGATGTCAGTCAAGTCAGTGCTGCGATGTGGTTCAGAAACTTGCAGTAGATATTCAGGCAGTGTGGAGGTACCCGCCTAGGGGTCTCTATACAAACAGAGGTCGATCGATCCAATCGAGCATAACAACGGGAAACTACAAGTATCAACAAGAGGTGGCTATCATGCTTAAGTGACCAAGTGGATAACGCTTTGGTATTTGAAGCAATGGGTATGCAGTTCAAATCTCAGTGGGAAGGACATCACTCACTGGCGTGCAGGTACATTCTGGATCATACTTCCCGAAACAACCAAGTCAATTACAACAATCTGCTAAACACTGTTCAAGACTTCTGTTGCTAAGTCCTATTTATTGTCCTAGTGTGAAATAGGTGTGTATGTTTTTCTGTATTATATCATGGTATATATAAGCAGATATGGAGAGTATTCAGCTGACAAGGAGTTCTGCCAAAATTTTTGAATACATCAAATCTTGATTTGTATACTTTGGTTGCTTGTTTTAAAATTGTACCATGAGAAAAATGTTTTCAGAAATAATATCTTCTTGATGCATCTCAGTTAACAGATGACAACAATATGCACGTTATGCAAATGATTGGTACAATATAACTGGGTGAATAACTGTTTGGATTATTGTAAAATTTAAATGTGCTCTATTATTTACCCTTATCTATCGCAATCATATAACGCATATATGTTTTACTGAATAAGAAATGTTGACTTTTATCTTCTGGTGGTCTAGTGTTCTGATTACGAGAATCCTGTGACTATTGATTACAATACAGTTAAACATCACAATGACCTTGTATATGAAGCAACATCAATTGACAAAAAGACTTTTGAACCATTGTGACCTACAAACACTTACACACTATCAGTGTCCAAAGCAAAGAGATAAAAAAGTGAAACACATGAAATCATTATAAAGAAAAAGTCTTTAAAACAAACTATTCATCTATATCTCAAATTCAAGCCCCAAATATATAAATTAATGGTGTGGAAACTATTCTGTTGGTTTCATTCGTATCTGACTATTCTGATACTAACCACAAATGTAATCATAGACTTTCTGTTTAGTTATTTTCCTTCCAGAAAACTTCATTCAAACCTTGAAGAATGCACTATTTACAAGTACATATTACAACAATAAAAAGGGTGGTTCGTGACTTCAGAAGTGAACTGTTTTACCATGACAAAGTATTAACACTATAAATGATAATTATCTGATAAAACTATCTGATTATCATCATCTACCGGTATAAGTTTACCCTTAGCTCAAAACTATTCTGCCATTACGTTTAGGAAAACAGTAGTCACTTGTGTTTTACTGATTTTGAGTTAATTAGCCGAAGATATTGTGGATTGTATGAAAAGATATACTATATATTACAATCTATTAGACAGATTGAGACTATAAGGGTGCAACCATTCAACCAAGAAGCAAACACTATGCTTAACCCATTTATTATTAAAATTCAATGTGTATGATATAGGGAAAGTATACAAAACAGATCAAAATAAAATTAACATATCATACCGATGTAAGATAATCTTTAACGGATACAGTCTTCCAGTGCATATAGAAACAACCAAGGATACTTGTCAGTATATTTTGGGATAGTGGTCAAAGTGTTATCAATATAATGAATAATACTGGGACGTTAGACTTTCAGAAATCTTTGTAGGAAAAAGCTCACATCAAGATTATATTAGTGTCAATTTTCTACTTTTAACCACCTAGATGTTTGCAAATAATAAGTTATTATTGAAAGTAAAGATACACTGTATAGGCACTAGATAAATTATTCCATCTTGAGCCGGTACATATTTATGTCCTTGGCTATAAGCCGTTATGTCTATGTTCTAGGACGGTTTTACTAGGTCTTCCTCACTTTCTCAGGTCGACTAAACGTCACCAACTATACAGACGGTTTCTAATTATGCGCATATACATGAAAACTGTGCACATGACAGAGCATGCACTCCTGCTAACGAAGAGGACGGCATTGAGTACCCGCCCTGGCCTAACCGTCCCCCAAAGTCAGCCGTACCTCCCACTCGTCTCTCAGCTGGTATTATCACTCTCCGCATTATGGTTGAACGGTGGCAACCAGGTACTTCAGCTCTTTCTGTCTACAAGGTGTTAGCAAATGAGTGGTTAGGTTCAGAAGTCAACTGATGACTGCTTCCGAAGACCCATTACCCAGTCAGCAGGGATGTATAAACTTCATTGCTTTGATTATTAGATAACGACCGCCGGTACAGTCACCAGGGTGGACCTCATCAGTAACCTGAGACCCATACCAGGAATATAGGCCAGCACGCCGGCCAACTCGGTCCTAATCGGGGGAGGTCACAGACCTTCATCATGCTTTGCATTCATTTGCAAACTCTCCCATCGCCCGGCAAAGCACGTTACACATACATGTGAGCAAACACGTTAGGCATCTAGAATATTTATGAACATCTCAGTTGCTCTGCCATTACTCACACTAATTAGGTTTTTTCACTTCGAAACCCTAGTGCTGAGTACAAAGACGATGATTTCTGTTTATCAGCGGTAACCACAATAAGGTTCACCAGCCAACAGAATAGAGAGCAAAGCCAACTATCTAAACAAGGACGACTAAATGTGCGCCGACAGCTAAGCATTCATACGCGTCACTAATTAGGTAACAAGGCATCTGATTCACTTGAGAAAGTCATAGTTACTCCAGTTCCAATGTTCAGTAGCGGCTACTGTTAGAAATGTATAACTACTTGAATTTCCTTATTAAAAGCTAACATTTTAAATGAATGATTGTTTATATGGTTGCACAGCATTCGCATGACACTTGACTTGCTGCGACGTTTGAATAAGATTGTAATGTGAATAAACGCTCCACTATCTTTACGTTCGCTGTCTATTTTTACGTCGCATAACTTTGGTGGATCACCAACGTTGGGAACGCTAAGAAAACGTAGAGATATCCGGGTTAACAAACACATAGTTGAAGTCAAGTCAACATCTGCTAGAAGAATGGGTGCTCATATCGAAATAGGTGCAGTGAGACCAATTGTTTGAAGGTTGAATACCTTAACTAATGAGTTACAACTTCACACTTTATTTGTACTTGATACATATCATGTGGACATTCAATGTAAATCATCTTTTCACCACTGACGGTGAAATTCCCCAAATCAATATGCTGTGCTGCGGTTTGGGGAATTAATAGTGCATAACTTTCCAATAACACCATACATAATATACTAAGTATGATTTCTAGTTATGAAACCAAAACGTTGCTTGAAAAGCACTTTCAAAATTAACCCATAACTATGCAGTTATTGATAAGCTTTAGGAGACATGGTAATGACAAACGTGACACAAAAGTACATCACTTCAAGTCAGAAAACCTACAGTTTCCATAAGCACTAATATCAATAGCTACTTTGTATGATCACGCTGACGTTTTCCTTCATCCACCACTACATAATCAGGCAAACAATGAGTACCAATGAACATCATACGCTTCAATCACTTCAGTGGATGAAAGATTATTAATTTTTATTAATCTCTTCTTATGAAAATGTATGCTTAATTTAAGAAATGCTCAATTTGTCTTTCTATTAAAAATGAACAAAGTTCGAATAACGATACCGATCAAACACATATGATGCTATATCGCTCACTCCTTCAACTTTCACGTTCTTTCAAGTGTATATTAGTCAGTAGAATACTGTAGCTTAACACATTTAATCCATTGCAGAGACAATTAACTAAAAAAAGAAGGAACTTTGTCCACCTAATTTGAATTCAATAATATTCAGTCTACTAAAATTAATACACCTATCCAAGTATAGAGCTGCGGCTTATCGGTTAAGTCAGTTCACAGGTTCAACAAGGTTTGGACGGTCAGGTGGTATCACTAACCCTCACGCAATAGACGTGGTTTATTGTTTAGAAGGTTGTTGAGTGCATTTTGTTCGTTCGTTTGTACCTATTTAGGTAAGTAGGCGATATATACAAAAAAAATAGTTTAATTTGGGAGTTAATGGGGATTTAGTGACTTTTCAAGTTGTTATTCATCATGAACTGACATCAGTTGAAGGAACACTGAAAACCTTGGAGTACTGGACAGATGTTCTGTCCTAGTATGGGACTCCTCATCAGTGCACACCTAGGACTTTCAGGTTCCGCGACCACTAGGTTACCGTTGAGCCACTGATGATTATTGTTGACTAGCTTTGGGAGGTGATTCCTGAAGTTCCAATGAGAAGTAGTGACCAGTGGGGCAAACTTGGTGGCTATGAAGATGAATATTAAACGATGACATTGGATGATGGTCGCGCTATATCGTGAACTGCCAGAAGTTGGAAATATCGACCACTGGATTTTGACCCAGTGGGTCAATGGTAACGTGCTGACCATGGAACCAGAAGGTCCCGGGTTCGACCCCTGATGGCATGGAGTCATGTGTGCGCACTGCTGAGGAGCCTCGGGTTAGGAGGTGACAGCTGTCCAGTGCTCTCAGGTTTCCAATGTTCCTTCAACTGATGTCAGTCAGTGGTGAATACCAACTAGGAGAAAAATTCGTTTCTAACAAGCGACTGACGCTATAGGCAAACAGGTGTCGAAATGATAGCTGATAGGCATAGAATATACTCTAATTATCCTTAGAATTTCACCAACATCATAACGAACAGTTTTCCTCTAGCTTAGTATCGTTTATGCACTTCAAGACAATTTATAAACTTATGTATACACGATAATGACACATGATAATGGTCTAATAAATACAATTAAATTTATAATGGGTGATGATTGTAAGGGAAGTGAAAATTTGGACCGCGGTCGGATTCGAACCAGCAACCACTGGGTTTCCGGCTGCGGTCCAAATTCTCATTTCACCTTCAGTCATCACCAAGTATAAATACTAGTCTGGCAAACTACAGCTATCTCAGATAGTCAAATAATAAATACAATTAAACTATTAAAACATACCTTTTTAATTTTTCTTTTACTTGTCTATCAATTAGAAAGATGCATACTTTCTCTGCTTTTGTTACTGAATACGAATTTTTGATTAGATTAAGATATACGCCACCAGGTGATCGTCGACGAGATCCATCCTAACAAGTTTTGTTGAAAAAGAAACCAACAAAAACAATAGAATATAATACTACTAACAAATTAGTGACCAAACAATATTCTCTTCGACGATTTCCTTCTCAGACTCAACATTTATTCAATTCACACTGCCTTATCAAAATATAAGTGTCTACTGACATGAATGAAGCTTGTTTTAGAACAGTTAATCGACAATACTAAATAAATCAAGAATGCTCTACAGAGGAGACTGATGTGAATAAGATTGTTACAATTAGGATTATTGTTATTCAGAACAAAGTATTAATAATAATCGGTGTTAATGATAGTATGTTTTATAAAATATTACATGGTTAAAACTAATAATTTCATAGAGATTTTATTCAAAGTAAGTGCCTTTAACCACCACTGAATTCCATAGTACTAAATCACTCTAATTCAAGCTTAAAACGAATCGCAAGCAACTCTGTCATAAACTTCATGAAATAATAAACGTTAAAACATATAGAAGGAAATATGGTAGACGGTAGTTTTGTGTATGAGCGAAGGTGTGAGCATGTGAATGCGGCGGACTGGATAAACAAAGATAATTGTCATTTTAACTATCTTAGATAGCCGTGCTTTGGTAGACTGGTAATCAATATGATGCTCCCCCTCTCTAATTCAGTTTGATCTAGATTAGGATGAGAATTCCCGACTAACTAGGCAGCCAGTGTGAATACGATTAAGCGGTAGTAACGCATTACAAATTCACATAGTGGTCAGAATTTGGACGTTGTAGCTCAGTTGGTAGAGTATCGGGTCGGAAAGCCGGTGATCGCCGGTCTGAATCCGGCCGCGGTCCGAATTTTTATTTCATCTTCAGTCATCACCCAGTATGACTACACTTAATTCTTTTCAAGAAAACTAAAAGGTTACGCAAGTTTGCATGTTATAGGACGCTAAGGAGTTTTCCGATTTCTAAACTGATCAGCGCAGTAACAATGGCTGAACCCGGTGTTTTGTACGCCATCTAGTGTTATAAAAGATATACCATCATTTGCATAAACGATTATTCCAAACTGACTAACAGGAAGTTCTGATCCCAACAATGTTGTTCATACCAATCTTTTCTAAAGAGAGTCCCTGAATTATTTGATATTGATGACTGACAGTATGTTATAAAACGAACTTTACTCATTAATATAGGTGCGAAACTTGGGCATTGTGATAGGATTTAATTCCATATTACATTTGTTTATTTGATTTATAACACAAAGTGTGATACAGTATTATTTACTTGATGACGTTTCGAGCAGAAATTATTATTGCTCATAATCATACCAGTGTAATCACACTACATTCGACATTTGATTTTTATAGTTATGTCATTTTATATGAGTTGTTTTATTTGTTGGAATTAGGGTGGCATTTAAACCTACAAACTCACTCAGAAATACACTTTGTCCGCTTAAGGATCCGATAGAATCAATTAAGCAAAATAATATAATCTATCAAATTCCATGTAATGACTGTGAGGTCAAGTATATAGGTTAAACTAGTTGATAGGGGTCAGTTAGAATAGCCGAACATAAGAATTTAGCTAAATATAGAATAATAGACCTAAATAAGATCAATAATCTAGAAAAAAACTCGGCTATTGCTATGTATGCATTAACACACAACCACACAATAGGGTCGGATAAAACCACTGTACGTAGGTCCAATATAATTGTTCATCGAATCAACACCTAGCCAACACATGTAATAGAAATGAGGCAACACCTATACCAGAGATATGGAAAATTTTGCTACCAATAGAAACAACCCATATAAGGTGTCATAACTATAAAAATCAAATGTCGAAAGTAGTGTGATTACATTGATATGATTATGAGCAATAATTTCTGCTCGAAACGTCATCAAGTAAATAATACTGTATCACACTTTGTGTTATAAATCAAATAAACAAATCTAATATGAAACTTTACTCATGTCAGTATTCATTAATTTTTTGATATAACAGTGTAAATTGAATCAATAATAGCAATAATAATAATAATAATAATAATAATAATAATAATAGCAGCTTTATTTTGAAAGCTATTTCGAGAATACTCATCAAATTTTTCAACATATCATATAGCATCAATTGGACAGCGACACTGTACACATAAACATAGCAAAATGAAATAAGCATAAATACATTAAAAAAAAAGATAAGAATATTCACTCTATCTAAAACTTCCTTGAAAATGTACAGTTAATTTAGGTAGACAATCATATTAGTAATTAGATTCATAATACATAAATAGTAACATGCTCATAGCCATCAATTAGTTTACTTTCAAAAACGAAAGTTGATTAGTTAGTTCATTTCTAATACTTTCTTCATCGCACAATAGATGAGCTAAATACGGTATTGTAGAGTTTTTATATTTTGTAATACGTGTAAAGCTTTGTGTACTTGCTCCTTATCTTTCCAGATGACCAACACACAGAGAGCTTTGAAGTGAAGAGGATGCTAGTCACCTGATAAAAAGTCGTACACACGGTTTACAGGCTCCACTGATTAGCAGCATTTCTCAGTCTGATTATGCTTAACTACTTTCTAACCTAATCACACTTAATTTTAGCTTTTTTTCACTATTCCATCATACAGTGAAGTAAAGTGAAGCTGGAAATACAGTTTATCACAGCGTACAAGTTTTACTCCGATACCAATCTCATTTCAGCTAACAAGCGTTGGGATAGACAGTGGCTTAATATCTGTAAAATATTTCCAATCCACCTCATCAATGTGGGTTCATCTATTAACTAATTTAATTATCGCACTAAACACCTAACCATCATCATACCGCTCACATGATGATCGTAATACAAGTAAGCGATGTTAAAAAAGCAACAGTCATCAGATATTTCTGTTCCTTTTGTAAATCATCCCCAGGGGGAAAACATTTATGTATGGCAAATGGAACATATGATTTACAGTACCGTTTATACACTTGAGTAAAATTACTTCAACATGCCTACAAAGAAAGCATATATATAGGCTGGTTGGATTCAGGAAGAACAAATCATGTGTGGATCAAATTGAAACGCCACGCTACGCATCATCATAGAACAGAGTATAAAATGGCAATCGACTCTCTACCTTACCTCAACTTCATCCATTTTGAAAAGTCCTTCAATAGTGTCGACTTACAAGTAATTTGGAAACTGCTTCAACACTACGCTTCTACTGCCACAAACCTTTATCAAATTCATTCAACAGCTATATGAAGACGCCACACGCCGCGTGATTCACAATGGAAGGCTCACTGACACCTTTGAAGTTTGGACAGAAGTAAGAGAAGGCTGCTGTCTACTATCACCGATCATCTTCTTGATTACGGTAGACTGGAGTGGACTGGATCAGGCGACCGACAACTGTGAGGAGCGAGATGATGGGCATATGCTGGACCGATGAAAATAGTTTAGAAGATTTGGATTTCGCTGATCACGATTTATGCCTAATGTCTTATTGCATAAACTCAAAGATCTACAGGCAAAAACTAACAAGTTGACAGAAGAGGCAAGGCAGCAAAGACCGGACTTCTTTCAGTTGAACGTAGAGGAGACACATGGGATGAAGATACCCAACCATTAACAACAACAAGCATCAATCGCCATCAACGTGAGAAACCAAAAGGAAGTTGTCTCTTTCACCTGCCTACCTAGACAGCATCGTCTCAACTACAGGCGGCGGTACAGATCAGGATGTCAAAACCAGGATCAGAAAAGCAAGCGAGACAGGTCATCATTAATCGGAAATCAGTGTGGAGATCTACTGCACTCAGCAAAAAGCGTGAACAAGATCCGGATTTTCAGCACTAATGTCAGTCAAGTCATTGCTTCTATATGGTTCAGAAACTTGGCGCGTCATGGGAAGCACTTACAACAAACTGCAGGCATTCATCAACAACTACTGCCTACGCTCACTGAATAGTGAAGATCAGATGGCCAGAATAAGCAACAAGGAAAATTGGCTGGCTGGCGACGAACCAACGAAGCAAGAACCTATCGCCCAACAAATATGTGGAAGAAAATGGAGATGGATTGGGCATACACTGAGAAGACCGACTGGGGACATCACGCACCAGGCCAGGCCGTCGAGTGGAATCCAAAGGGGAAACGACGAGTTGGGCGTCCGAGGTGAGGGTGACATGGAGGAGATCATGTTAGGAAGAAATGAGAGGTTGTGTGCAGTGGTGACGCCAGGTTCAAAAGATTGCAGAGAAGAGAATGAAATGGCGACGTGCTACTGAAGCCCTATGTTTCACTACGAACCCGAGGGATTATATATATATATAATGCAATAAATCAATTCTTTATCATTCTCACTGCAAACAGATAACACTGATGACGGTAATTTATACGACAGTCTGCACGTAAATCACAGCATTACAGACTGGATAAAATCGAAATCGTCATATAAAACCCAAAAATTACAATTGTTTAAATACTGAAATTTAGTACCTCAAAGTGCTTTAGCAAAAGGCTCAATATTTCTCATTTCATCATAAACTGTTAAATAAAACAAAATCGATTAAGATTCTATACCCCCACAAGTAATCACATCCTGACAGGAGAATCAGCATTGCCTGCCTTAGCACTACAAAGAAAGCACATACTTAAAAACTGTTGATTATTAGAGTAGTGAATAAGTTAAAACAAAGTACTAACAAGTGTACACTCACCATTAAATAAAGACCTCCACTATTTTCAATATCCTCTGTAAGATAATAAAATTCAAGGGCTCGTTGGACACCGAGAATATCAACTGTTCGTCCTAAGCAACATACGTTATTAACTAAAATGAAAACTCACTTATCAAATCCTGATTAGGTTCATTCAATAATCTAGTAATCGTTTCTGCAACAACATCAGGGGACTATCAAAGGCAACATCTAGATGAGATCTGGATATTGACTGATCCCATTGAAGTGGACCAAGTCGTTGTCTGAGGGACAGCACATTTCTTGATACTCTGAAAACTGTAAACCTATATGCAGTTTTATCAAACCTGGCAGGTAATTCTGGTTGACTAGATAACTTCTTAGTATTCAACCTTTCATCAGTTTCATCTGTATCGACTAAATAACTTTCAACACCCCGACTAGTATCACGTTTCTACAATAAATGTTGTATTAAATTGTTCAACTTTACTTCATGCAAATGAGACATGGATAAAGAATCACGCAATTTGAATTCATCGATCACATTCAACCAAATATTATTAGGACACCTTTTAGTACGTTTCTGAGGGATATTTACATTCGAATCGTCTTTCACTGGTGAAAGATGCACATCTGATTTTTTCCGTTTCCAGCAAACCTCATCACTGCTACTTGAATCATCGTCAGATGATGAGTGAAGGACTTCTCTGTAAGCCATTTTTTGTGTAGTTACTTCTAAAAGATAAACACACAAGTAAAGATGAATTCCAAATCAAATAATATTGGTTAGAAAAATCATAATAATTTCATAATGACTGTTAACTCTTTTCTTGTTTCGTTTACCCTACGGGATGTTCCCTTTTTATATCTTCATTTTATACTACTAAGTATTTTTTAGTAGTATAATTCATGTTTCCCCCTAATGTTGCTTCATTCGCATCCCTGGCTGTTTATTCTGTTCAGTCGTATTTTGCCCACCACTTAACATCAGTGGACACTAGTATCTTTCATAGTTGATGATGGTGTTTCAATTTCTTTCGTTGTTCCTTGATGTCCTAGTTTACTCTTGAACATTTGTTTACCTTGCGTCTTTACGTCATCGTGGGAACTTACGCGCGTCCTTCTGGTTGCTTGGACACAGCTTTGTTCTTTTTACTGTTGACGCACTCTTTGTAAAGTGCTTTGATCGCGATAAATCCACAGATACTCCATGATTCTAGGTTTGTATTTTATCACTTAATATTGCTTACTAATATCGAACTGTATACTAGACAAATCCTATGTTTTAGATTTTACGTGTAACTCGAACCTTAGGTTTATTGTTGAGAAGTCACTTCTTCACTTTGGTTCCGAATATCTTGGAAAGAAGTTCACAATAACTTTATCATGTCATCATGAAAACGCTCAGAAATGTGCAGTTGAAAAAAGGATTTACAACTGTCAAGTCGGTAGCATAAAAGAGTTAAAAATACCCACCATTGATTTATTTTCATATTTCACTTAAGGTTAAATGAGTTTAGAAAGAAAGAGAAGGCTACTGACTTTTAAATGTATCATTAACTCATTCCTATTTGTTTACTTCTTGTTTATCCCAATCGTTTTTAGTGGGAAACTATGGCGAAAACGCAGGTCACAGGTTACTCAATGATAACGATTCAAACGTTTTCACGCAGACAGACAGACAGACAGACACACACACACACACAAAAAGATGAACATATGACCAGGCATTATTGAGTAATACCTTCATTTAGAAGGGTGCTATGTAATTTCATTCATGTGGTAGCCTATCTAACAGCCTGATATAATAATGATAATAATAATAATAGCAAACGTTTGTGGGATGAGTGAGTGGGAGGGTGAGTTATCATATCCCATCTAATCTCGCATACGTTCTGAGTTCGCCTTTTACATAGAGCAAAAGCCATTGGAATCTACCTGAACAAGCCAAATTTGTGTGTACATAAGAATTTCCTACAGCCTCTTTCTTTGCTTTGGCTATCTGTATATCTAATCTGTAAATAACAGCCTTATTTGTTAAATATCATAAACAAAATCCCATGATCACGACAAACAAACCAACACCACCGGCCTGCAGACCATGGGGTATGGTGGAGTGTGTTATTTTTCGGGCCAACCTTTTCTAATCCCCCCTTCCATTGAAGCTGTCGTTGCGTAGAATTTTTCTCAGTGTACTTTTAAGCTCTACATTGTACTCGGGCCTGCAGGAATGCGTTTACGTGCATCCACTAGTTCGGAAGAAGCTGCTGATACCCACTGGCTCCTTTCAGCCACTCTCTCGGAGTCGGCTACGGTCTTCAACGCTGCTTTTACGGCAGACTGAAGATGACACCAAGCTTCTTCTGGATGAGTGAGTCTTCTGTCCCGATAACTGTCTAGCCAACTTCTCACTGAACACGGCTTTGGTATTTTCGTTGTCCAGCAGCATTCATAGTGGTTTTGTTGCCAAATGTTTTCTACGTCCATTGAGACGCAGGCATATACGCGTTCGGACAAACACGTGGTCGCTATGCAAGCATGTACTTCAGATGAAGCGACAGTGTTCAACCGATCTTCTCCAGAGATGACTAATAGAAATGTGGTCTATCTGTGTCCATCCCTGAGTTGAGCTCAGTGGACACCAGGTCAGACAGTATCTTTCTTTGTGTCTGAAATTTGTGCTGGCTAAAAATAGGCAACTATCTTAGCACAGTTGTAGTAGGCGATCACCGTTATCTGTTTGTCCAGTGCCACCTAAGTGCCTTTCTGCCTCACTCAGTCTACCCATCTGTGTGTTGAAATAACCTGCAACAACCACCACCTCCGAACGTTTGGCTTTCGAAAGGAGGCTAGACAGTTTACGGTAGAACTCGTCCTTCACTTCATCCGAGCTGCAGTCAGTGGGTGCGTAAGCAGAGATTACAAAGAGACAACGGCGAGTTTCACTATTCCTTTTAGTTCTCACTGTGCCGTTCAGTCGGACAGCGTAGAGATGACTATCAACTGGGATCCAGTCTAGTAGTGAACTTTCTGCCCTAGTGCTTAATGCTATGCCTACACCTGCAAGACCGCGGGATCTAGCTATCGGATCTCTAGAAACTCGAAGGGTGAATTTTGAGGACTCACCAGATTGGTCCGGAGAGGTAAGGTGAATAACCGGACTTAGGTCCTGTATGCGTGTCTCACGAACACAACACACATTCATGGCCCGAGCTGCTAGAGTCCTCGCCAATGAAGCCTGTTGACCAACTTGACAGCGGGTGTGGACATTGAAAGCTCCAATATGTAAGTTGGAGAGTGGTTTAAAGAGACCAGGGATGCTGTTCTGTGGACTTGGATCGTTACCAAAGGCTGTAGAACTAGAAGAAATTGAGGATGATGTAGTATTGTTAATTGGGAGATGTGAAAGAAGATTAAGAGGTAATGATGGGAGAAGTGGATAGCAGTCAGAAGAAACTTGAGTGCTGACAGAGTTGTGAAGGCGGTTGACACTTCCCGGATGCCCACACCGTGGAAGGCTACTTCTTAAAGTACCTGAAAGAGATCTGTGTGACTGCAGATCCCATCGGACATATGCTTGAGGCCTGTCACATTCAGGTCTTTGTGTATGTTTATTTTGACATTTTGTTGTTTTGGGGCCGGATGGTCGAAAGGAAACGACAAATGAACCAACACCGGTGGCCCAACAGATCGTGGGGTATGGTGGAGTGTGTTATTTTTGGGGGGGAACGACCTTTTCTACCCCCTCCCTTCAACTGGGAAGGCACCATCAGCATGACACTGCTGGTCATCCAAGGGAAACACCTTACTGCTGTCATACTCCATCCAGCTAGCAGCAGTACGACTTCGCCCTCAGACCTCTATCATAGTGTAGCAGTTTACACCACAACGGTAACTGCTTTTTGTCTAGCCACTATCCAGTAGACCTTTCTGATATGGTAGGACGTCGAGGGAACAAGTGTTCCACCAGGATAGCTCGTTGGGTCGTTGTGGTATGCAAGTCCGACCACCACATCAAGGTAGCAGCTATCTATTTACGAAATGCATAATTATCGTAAAACAAATAGTGCGTAAGCTGATCAACACAGATGCACTTCCTTCAGGACTACTGGGCCACTTTACTCAAAAGAATAGCCAATGGATATTTTGTCAAGTGGAATGTGACACTTCCCCGCTTCAAGTACAATCAGCACACCTCCCAAACCGAAAAAATGGGAATAATAAATTCAATAACATCCAAGCCGTTGCATTACAGTTAAATACGATGATAAAGTTAGCACACTACTTCAGTCTCCATAGCATCACACATATCAAAAGCATATCACTGTAGTCTCTCCATACATCATGAAGACTAATGGTTCGGTGCAAAAAGTAACACGATACTGTTTTGCGCTGTGCTTGATGTCAAATCTTCATGATATCTAACACAATACTATATCATATATACAGATGTTTACTCTTTTCTCTTTACCGTACGATTACTTAAACAAACACCCAGACAAAAAACTTCGAAAAAATCTAGCCGCGCATGCTCAATTCTAAACAAGACAGAAAATACCAACCAAAAAAGAATATATGCAGGAAACGGAATGTCCAAAGTAAACACATCTCAAGCTATTCCATTCAGCCTCTCACTAATAACTTCCAACATCTCTTGAATCTCAGTGAAGACACTGATGTTTTTCTGCATACAACTTAGACAAATGGACAGTAACTTTATAGCTCCATGGACGTCGTGGTTTTGAGAGATAGTATGGCTACCATATTTCAACCGTCTTTTTGAGTAAACTCAAAAACTAATCTCCTTGCTAATAAACTGAAACTAACTTTCAAAAGAATCCGAGGAAAGTTAGCAACTGGTCCTGTCCACACAAAATATAATAGACTTTTTTCTGATAATTATACGAAGGTGAATAGAATAAGATTTCAGATCATTAGATTCGATTCCGAAAACACCTAACGGTGGAGTGGGAATTGAGACAATGTGCAGTGAACACTTATGCTTTCTCAGCGTACATATTTGACACTGAAAGACGAAACTTCACTTGGGATAATTCATTGTAACCGAGCTAAATAATTCAAACACTTGTCTGTTGGTTATGATTTCTCAGGTTCCAATTTTCGATTCTACAAAGAGTTATCGCAAATAATAAAGAAATGAAAAATATACTCAGAACTCCGTGATTTCCATTGACTGTTTATCTTATTATTGGCTTGTAGTCATCAAACTAAAGAGAACTGTTTAAATTATAGTACTATCACATTAAAATCTTATCAGCCGTCGTATACAAAGAATTGATTGTTTAAGAATGTTAAGCAGTAGACTTTTAGAGAAAATGAAGTTGAGAAAACTACACTTTACATGACATTTCATACTTCATTTCGTATTTTAAAAAGATATACTTTTTATGTACACGACTGTATCCTGAATGAAATGAAACGTATAATACAACCGCGTGCTCACTAAATAAACTAATGATAAAATAACGGCAAAACTGTCCATACTATTTATGACAACAATCCAACTACATAAGAAATAAATGTCCTATTTAGAAGAACCCCTGGGGTGTGAACGCAGAATAGTGTTCAACCATTTTCTTATGACAATGACTGACCGTTTCATAACATTCCATAACGCACTTAGCACTCACATGCACTTTCATGCAGTAGGAGGTGAATCAAAACTATTGTATGAGGGCTAGTGATACTATCTAGCTGCCCAAACTCCAGTATTT